ACCATTTTGTCTCCGAAAAACGGGTAATCTTTGGGTCCAAAACCACAATTCTGACCTAAAATAAAAAACCAACTTGGACATATATTTGAAGTTTAGTTTATTTCTTAAAAACCCAAAAAAATGCCCAAATTTTTAACAACAATAAAAAAGAAATGACCAATCCCTCTTTTTATTTATTGATTGGCCCTATATTAAGCTTTGTTTACCAAAGAAAAAGTTTGTTCAGGTTTTATGATTTCAGGGTCTACCAATTCTTTTTTTTAAACCATTTTTTCTCTCCCCTCTTTTCAATATCTTTTAATTGTCTTATCCACTAGGGATGGTTTTCCTGGGATCTGTTTTTCCTTCTGGGGTGAGCCAAGGCGGGGTTCGTAATGAAGGGGAACGTTAGAGCTAAAGGTGAGGGTTCTCGGTTTCTCTGTGGTTAAAACATTCAATTTCTATGAAAAATTTGTAATTTTTCATTCATTTTTATTATGGGACTGTAAAAAGATAATTTACTTACGGTAGACTTTTTTAACCACTAAAACCCGATTGCAAAATCGACATTTTCATAGATTTTTCTTATTTGGTATTTAAAAAGGTTCTTTTTTACATTTTCTTTGTTTGGGTTAGGGCATTTTGGCCCCCTAAAGGAACCAGAGTGGGTGGGGAATTTTCAGGGGCATCTAGGTGGTTAAAAAGTTTGCAGGATTTTTGGGCATTTAAAAAATAACAAGGCCTTCCAAGCCTTCCCAAAGAAGGGCACTAGGGGAGGAAAAACCTTACAGGTGGCCACCCGAAAACCACCACGAAAATTCCAAAAAAAAATCCCATGTTAAGGGAAGGGGCCAAGTTGGGGTTTTCTGGGTTTTTGTCTGTCTGGGTTAGGGGGAAAACATAGGGGTGACAAAAAAACCCAACAAGCATTCTTTAATTTTCAGGTGGATATACAACTAATTGGGAAAAACAATTATCTATGTATTATTTTCTTGCCTTTTCTGGTAAAATTAGGATTTTTTTTTCCCTCTTTAAAATCATACCCACAATGGACCTTTATTAGGAAGGGTTTCCAATTCTCTTTAAGAAACCAGAATTCCTTAATTGTTCTTTTTCAGAAACGAAATTTGTTTCAATTTGTTTCACATTCTAAAAATCTCCCCCCTCGTTGTCCACTGTCTGCAAAAGGAACCAACCCAGGCAAAAAACCCAACTGGGTTCCCACTTGTTTTTCACTCTAGGACCAAAATTCCAATTTGGCCAGATCTTTGTTGAATTTTTAAATATCATTTTCCAAAAAAGCTTTAAAACATAGTTTTAAGTAAATTTTTTCCTTTTTCTTTTAAAAAAAAATTGTTTTGTTTTTGGTAATTTAATTTTGTAGTGTGAACAGTGCAGTTTGAGAAAAAATAACCCAAACAAAACCCGGGATATCCCCAGCAATTTTACAAACAAAAAAAAAAACATGCAGTGTTATAAAAAAATTGCATTATTTAAAATGGCTTGAAATAAACATTTTTAAATTTGATTATTTGATTTAAGTTGTATTAAAATGGTTCATTTTAAAAGCCAATTGGTTGGATAACATGGCCTTGTTTTTTTTTCTGAGGTACAAAACCAACCACAAACATTTTATATTTTTTTCAAGGTGATAATTACGGCCAACTAATGGAAAAAAAAACCCCATTAAACCTGCGGATGGTTTAATATTCCCAATTTCTTTGCCCAATTTACATTTTTTCCTTAAAAATTTTTACCACCACTGGGAAATTTTCACTAATAAAACAAACAATTTTTCCCATTATTTTATCCTGTTTTTATTTCTCATTTCAGGGGTGGATGAGGGGGTTTAAAAAAAATTTTCAACACAGTCCTTACAATCTCAATTACCCAATTTTGAAAGAAAAGGGCCCCACCGGTTTGGGTTAATTTGTTGTAAAGGCCATGTGATATAAAACCATTTTTTTTCGGTTCAGCCCACAACTTTTTTTCCATTTATTTTTTTCAAAGTGTTTCTACTGTTCCTCCATTTTCCTTGGCGGCCTTCAAATGACGGGCCAAGGAATGAGGTTAGGGTCAAACCCCAAACCCGATTTTCAAAACCCAAAAGGGGCTTTTCAGGAGCTTTTTCCAACAATTTTTCAACCTTCCCAAACAAAAAACCCTCCTTTTCAATACTATATATGCGGTTTTTTGCCCTTGGGTACAAATAAACTTACCCCACACTACCCTGTGTGTTTGGATTACAAAACGGGAAATTTACTGGGGACAAAACCCTTGTGGATTCCAAGTTCCCGGATACGTTCCCAGTGGGGTCCGCCTTCCTCTGGGGGCTAAAAAACAAAAGGAAATATTGCCAATTATTGAAAGTTTACTTGTCGAGGGGTCACTTCCAGAAAGGTGGGTTTTTTTGGGCAAGGTCCCAGTTTTCAAAGGACCTAAAAAAATTCATCAGGAGGACTATTTTACAGGTTCCAAAGTTCTTAAGTTTAATTGACCCAGTTTCCAAAGTTGAATGGCCTGAATGGCCCCTGGACACTTAAAATACCCCATTTGGCATCCAGTTTAATACCTGTTTTTTTTAACCATAGGTAGGGGACAAAATTCCTTTTAAATGCACATTTTATTATTTCTTGATTTACCCAGGGTCAAACTTTTAAAGTTTAAAGTCTAAACCCTCTGGTTTAAAAGGAATGGTTTAGGTATTTAATGGTGTAAGTGTTGCTTGCTAAAAAAAAAAAAAACAGGCATTTGGGCAGAGTTAAAAAGATATAATTTCCACTTTGTTAAATAAAAAGTTTAAAAAACTTCCCCCACTAAGAGGAAATTTCCCCTATTGGCTGTGGAACCCCCAAAGATAGGCATTCGGAATTTTAATTTAAAATTTATTTAATGGGAGACTTTTGGAAAGATTTTAAAAAACTGGTAGAGAAGGGAGGAACTTCCAGTCCCTTAATTTTTGTATTAACCACAAGTTGGACTGATTTTTCAAAGGCCTCTAACATTGGGTTGAAGGACATTTAAAAAAGAATTTCGACTTCAAAAGAAGCAAGCAGTTATTGGGGGATTTCATCAGTTAATTACCCCAATCCCCCCCACTGTTCCAACTGACTGGGGCTTGTGAAGGGGCAGGGAAACTTCTCCAACTACAAGGGGCCACGCTGGATTTGGGCCAATTTTTCAAAAAATTTACAACTATCCCCCACTTGGGGGCCTGTGCGTGGCAAACCAGAGGGTCTTTACGTAATTTCTTTAAACCCAGATAAAGGGGCATTTTCTCCTCCATTTCCTTGTGAGGAAAAAAAAATGGGGAACGGGGAGAGAAGGGATAAAAAAAGAGAAGGGAGTAGAGTGAGAAAGGCAAGAAAAAAAAAAAGTGGACAAGGGGGGATATTGATTGTGAAATGGGGAGAGGCAAAATGAGAGGATTCCAAAAAGGAGGAAAAGGGCAAGAGGGGGAAAAAAAAGAAGGTAATATAGGTGTGACCCTGGTGTTGAGAAGGGGAACCGCAGCAAAGGCCAAGGAAATTTTGGAGGGAGAAAAATTTTTTAAAAGGAGAAAAAAACAGGAGATAAGTGTTAGGGGGGGGCAAAAAGGCCAGGAACAGGTTGGAAGATTGGAAAACCCTTTTGGGCTTCCATGTATAAAAAATTATTTTGGGAAGTTTTGGGCTGGAACTTGGGAATTTTTTCAAATCATCTTAAAAAAGGTGCAATGGCAGAGGCCTAACCCCCTAAACTAAATCATATATTATTTTCACCATTGGCCCTTACCTATTAGCATGCATTTGGGGCCTTTGGAAATGTATTTTCATTTTGGACAATTTTTAAAAAAAAAGGCCCCAGGACCGGACAACTTATCCATTTTTGACCTTTCCCTTGGGTTGCCTCCAAACCTTTTTCTCTCTTTCCCCCTTCGCCCCCTGTCGTTTTTTTTCTTCCCAATTACCCTTCACCTTTGTGTCTTTCCCCCTTTCTTTCACTTTTTGTTTTGCCTTTTGGGGACTCTGCCCTCTTGGCCCAGTTGGTTTACCCCCGGAGGTTTCGCCACCATTGGCCCTCCCCCCAACCAAAAACCCCCATTCCATCTTGTGGGGCCCCAGGCTTGGATCTGAGGGATTGAAGAAAGGGAAAACCCATTGGGAAGCTGGAAAGGAAAAAGGAGGGCTGGGCACCCAAATTTTTTCAACCTACCTCAGGGGCCTGGCTCTGGGGCTTAAGGAAGATAGGTGGGGAGCTCAACGGGTTTCTTACTTTTCAAGGTCTTGTATTGGGCGGGGAAAAAACCGGTGTTAGGCCTCTTTGGCGGATTGAGGCTTGGGGAATTCAAAGCAAAACACCCTTTTTTACAAACTTCGTAAAAGCGATATTCCCAAATGGGGGCATTGTGCTTATTAAGAAATGAAATATGGCAATTGTATTTTATAGTTTTTTGGCTTAATTTTGATTGTCGGGTCTGATTTTATGTGTTGGTGGCTTTTGGGTGATTGGCTTGCCCCCAATTACTGCGGGTGGGGATTAAAATTTGGAATTTCACTGAGAGTAAAAAGCTTTGAAATGGCTAGATTTTAATAAAATGGTTCAAAACCCAAATTCATCCTTTCTGACCAATTATGGGAAGTAAAAGCCTATTGGTGATTGTTATTTCAGTTCGTAAACAACTAGTTGTCCAAAATCAGGTTTGAGAGATTAAAACCTTTAAACCCTTTGGGGACCCATTTTCTTTAACGGCAGAATCAGGTTGAGGTGGCTAATTTTGTAGAAAAAACCTGGCCCTTTTAGTTTTTTTAAAAGGCTGGGCAAAAACAAAGTTGTATCAACGATGAACCAAAAAAAGGGAGCATTTAGGCAGCTAAAAACAGACAAAAGGATTCCCAGGCCACGGTTTGCCAGGAAATTTTTTCAATTTGGGATTGGGGGCGAAGTGTATCTTGGGGGGCCTGGCCTTTTAATTGGAACCCAGAAAATTTTTTAATTTTTGTTTTTTATCCTTTGACGGGGTCCAAACTTGTAAATTCTGGCCTCAAGTGCAACCTGGGTTGTTTAAAGACGCCCTTTAACAAATAATTTCTTAAAAACACATTTTTTTGGAATTCCTATTTTTTCCATTGTTATCATTGGCCATAGAATGTAGACCAATAACCCAAGCCCATTAAATTTAGGAACATTGGATTTTTTTTTTTTTGGATTTGTTTTGGGGCCGGATTTATTATGGCTAACCCCAGGGGAGTTTTTTTTTGCAATCCCTGGGTGGGAGTTTTCTTTGGCAATTGTTCTTTCAGGGGATTGGGAATTACATTGAACATTATTTTAAAAAATATAGGAATAAAGGGAAAAGATATTTATTAAAAAAGGGGGGAATCTTACTTGCACCCCAGAAAAAACCCCCCATTGGCATAAGGGAAAATGTCTCAGAGTGGCATGACAAAATCTTCCTTTGGATGTTGGAAAATCATTTTTTTTCAAAATTAAGATTTCTATTCTTATTTTCATCCTTCCAAACTTTCATTGGGTCCGCTCTTTCTAACTTGTTGGGAATTTACTCTTATAAAACCACCAACAAGCCCAAGGATTTATGGGGCTTTTGTTCCTTATCTATCCAACCTCCTATTGGGGGATGTCTGGTTATAGCTTTATTTCGCTTTACCCCAAATATGGTTTAAAAAGGGTTTGCTAACCAATTACTGGATCCCATAACCCACAGTGTTTAGGTGGTTGGCAGGACTTATTAATTTCAACTTTCACTTTTGTGTGGCCTTACCCTTTCCTTTTTAGTAATTAAGGGTTTTCTTATGTGGTAGATTAATAATGTTATTTCTTGGTTTAACCCTTGTTTTTATGTTATAAGGGATGCAGGGTTATACCTGGACGGGGGCTTCAAGGGCTTTGACCCAGACGCGTTTGGGCCTGAGACCCTGTGTTTGATGAAGGCCAATCCGGGCCCGTTGGGCTTCTTGGGCCCCTTTCAAGCCCACACCAGCCCAACCATGTAACATGGACATCCTTAAGGAGGTAAAACTTTGGTTTTAGTGGGACTGCCTGAGGGGTTGTCCTGTTTCATTCTATTAGGTCAATTCGTGATATGTTTCAATTGCCAGGTGGAATTTATGGACTTTGTTACAATTTTGTCGCTTCAGTCTATTTTTAATCAATTAATACTCAATAGTATTAATAATAATGTTAAATGATAATAACTTTACTTTTTGATTCAGGTGTTTTCTTTCCCAGGATCGTTGCCATTGTTCTATGGTATTGCCTGTTTGTACATACTTTTTAGGTAACCTTAAAGAGAGGAGACCAGAATTTCTACTCTGTGGGAGACAGTTAGCATTTGACAGTGTGGGATGAAAACTGTTAGATAAGTAGTAAATGTTTATAAGAGTGTTTAGAGGGAGGTTTTATGGGTGGGGATGACTGATCAACACTTGGTCACAGTCATATGGTCTGATCCAGGACCATTTGGTCTGAGAGATCTCCAACCCTCATGTGGATTACATATAATGGTAAATAGGACAACAGATGTGTTCCTGGTCTATTAAATAAGCTTGCACCTAAAGCTCTGAAATCAGTGATTTAAATCAGAGTTCACAGGAAAAGGAAGCCCGGTCCAGGAGCTTGCTCACCTGATGTCGTACACTCCCTATTCTCTTCTTACGGATATATATAAACTCTGGCTGCCCAGAGCCTACTCTCGCTGGCGTTACATCCATTTTTCTTCAGTAGACAAATATTAAATCCTTTAATTTATTCTAATCTGATTATTAATTCATTCACTAAATACACCGCTTTAGAGGACAGAGACCCTGTATTTATACATCACATTTCTTCTTTATTCCCTTGTTGTGCTTATTCTGAGATTGGTTTATTTTTATTAGTTTCATGTTGTCCCTTTCTTTAATTTTCGGTCGGTCGGGACGACCATCTCTGGGTGTGACTCGTTATAGTGGAGAGCGAGAGGCTGTAAGACAGCAGCTCTGTCTTTCCTGTCAACTCTGGACTGTCAGGGTTTTAGAAATATACTTCGCGCATATTCCTGGAAGAGACGCTACTCCAGAGTGGATGTGATGCCGCTCTTCTAAATCAGACCAGTTTTTCCCCAAAAGCTCAGTTATCAATGAGCCACATCAGGTCTGTTCTCAGCGGTGGTCGCTGGAGTGGAAAAATTTTTGAAACATGAATGGGTTTGTGGTTATCCTTAAATAGAAGAATAGAATAAAGTTAAAAATATAAATATTAAAATATAAAATATAACTAAAATATAACATATAACTTAAAGTGCAGAACATTGTACAAAAATTTGCATTTAACATTTAGGTGCTTGCCTGATTTGCAGGCAAGTCGGTTTGAGTATCTTGAAACTTCTGCAGCTAACAACTAACAGATCAACAGTTGTTATCAACCCTCCAGAAATATTCAGTTATTTCGGGCTTTGGGCCAGGAAAAGACTTCCTCATTCGCCCTTTTGTTTTAGTTAATTTGTTTATTTGTTTGATGCCTCTTCACCATCTCCGGTCACTCTCTGTCATTTTCAGCATAAAATGAACTCTACCATCACTGTCCCGAGAGTTAACACTAACCCTGACAAGCATCATGGCTTCTGCACCTTCCAGCCACCGTCCTCTACGGATGCTCTGGAGGAACGCCTTCTACTAGACTCCATTGCTTGGCCTGAAACTCCTCTTTTACCTGCTCCTCTTTCTCTGGAGCAGACCAGTAATCCTGCCAACAGCACCTTCACCATTCTCCCACCGGCGAGGGAGGGAGGACAGTGGCAGATAGGGGATCAGCTGAAGGTTATGATCAACATGTGTGATTTCCAGGGTCGTCCCAAGAAGTCTGGGGGAGACGTCATACTTGCCCGGCTGCACAACACAACGCTCGGTGCAGGTGTGGTTGGGCAAGTGGTGGATCATCTCAATGGCAGCTACTCTGCTGTGTTCTCTTTACTCTGGAAAGGAAGAGCACAGGTTGAGGTGATGCTAAAAGCTGTTGAATAATGTGATTGTGCTGTAGGTGTTTACCCCTAAGTTACTGTTGCTAGGTCAGTTCTTAATCATTTTAGAAAAAAGTCTGTCTCTGAGGTTGCGTTCACTGGCATTCGCATTAGCAGAGTTGCGGCAGAGCAGATGGAGGTTGTCAGAGGGAAAACCAGAGAATATTTTACTCCATAAAATATGTTCCAGTTTCACACAGATCACTGATAAAGTTGTGTTTTTGTACAGTTGTCAGTGAAGTCCCAGCCCCCAGAAATGCTCCAGTAGCTAGCCATGCTGTTGCTAGCTTGCTAACTAATGAATCTTCACTCTGTATCGCTAAACGTTGGAAACTGATTGATGTCGTTGTGGATGTCATGATATTATTGGTTGAAACTGGTTAGCTCATGCTTATGTAAGCATGAGTCACATTTTGTTTTACAGGAAGAAAGAAATATTGAATTTCAATAGAAATTCAGATTTTTTTTTTTTTGCCATTTAAAAGGCATTTTTCATATCATCTAGAACACTGGTTCCCAACCTGGGGGGCGCCAGAGATCACAGGGGGTGCGCACAACTTTGTCTGCTGAGGTTGTGAGGTTACCAAAATTATTATTTATAAAAATTAAATTTATAAAATCCCAATAACACACCCAAAAAGGAAGAAATGTATCTATATACATTGTAAAACAAGGAGAACAGGTGTTGTTTATTTTTGCAAATAAAAGTTTGTAATTAATGACTTTATTCATTAATAAATGAATGAGGTGTATGCGGGTAGGGGTTGGGGTTGGGAGTGCCTGACTTGTCTTGGATACAGGCAAGGGGGGCTTCAAGGAAAAAAGGTTGGGAACCACTGATCTAGAAATCTTTTCACTATTCCTCTTGTGTTATTGGTTTTGGAAAGGCAACAAAACAAAAGTATCTATTTTGCTACAGGCCCCAGTACACCACTTCAGCATGCAGAGATATCCAAAGCTTTACACACTTAAGTAATAGCCTATTCACTTCATCTGTCTTTACTGATATGACAGGTGACGCTGGTTCACCCTAGTGAGGCTGTCACAGTGCTGCGCAGGCTGACCAGTGAACAGCCAGACAGGATTCACTTCCAGAGCCTCTTCCGCTCAGGCTCACTCTCTCAAACTACCACCTGTAACGTCTGCCTACGTCCAACCCAGCAGCCACTGTGTAACTACACTGACCTCCATACAGGCGATCCTTGGTTCTGCTACAAGCCAAAACACCTGAGCTGCGATGCCAGGATCAACCACTCCAGGGGAGAATTCAAACAAAACCTCAAGGACAAGGAGGAGAAGCTCTTTCAAAGGTGAGGCTGGAGCAGAGATACAAGTCTGAATTTTTGAGTAACTTCTAATAAATACAAGTGTCTCCTTGGTGGTGAGACATTTCATTATGTGTACCTTTCTTCAGTGGGGTCAACATGAAAGTCTCCATTCGGGCTTCAGGACCTGCCAATGTCAATGTGTTGAAAAAAAACAAAGGTAAACCCCAATCTTTACTACTGCCACCACTGCAAATTATTGTAATTCAAATTTGAATAAGCAGAAAAAAAACAACAGCGTTCAGAGCAGGGAGCACTAGGCTTAAAGTTAATAAACTTTTAGCACCAGCTGTTAGCAGTGTATCTAGTCAAACACGAGTAAGGATAGCACACAAGACGTTCATAAAATCACTTTATACCTGCTCTTATCCCCCAAAATAAACAGCTGCAACTGCTTACATGATTTTAGCTTCTGGTGACAAAAAATAGGTTGGTATATGTTAAGTCTAATAAGGTTTTGTTCTTACCACTGCAAGATTGTTTATACCATTTATGTCTAGAAATACTGATTACTGATACTAATTTGATTCTCATAATATTGTGGACAGAATATTGCTTTAAATGATAAGGCTAATTGCATTGATTGTATTAACAAGTATTGCCTATTAAAGCATGAAATGGTTTATTTCTTTGTGTCATAGAGCTCCATTGTTGTTCAACAACAATTTAAAAGTCTAAAACTGTGTGACATGTTCTTGTATTACAGTGAACATGGGCACCGTAGTTTAGTTCAGTACAGTTCCACATACACTCTCCTCCTGATCACTGGTACCTTATGTGTATTAATCCTCTGCTGAAAATAGTCTAACAAATGCACTATGTACACACAAAAAAAAAAAAATTCACAGCCTTTGAAAAACAATAATGAATTTGTCACTAAACTACGTCACTACTAACAAACTGACTTGGTGCCACCAAGTGCCACGGGCAGGTTAGGGAGAGACTTTGATTTGGGCCATTTCATGGGACTTGTTGGCAATAACAAAATGTAAAATAATGGCATCATTAACTTCCTCTCAGGTCAACCAAAGGTGAATGTGAAGTCTGGACTCTCTGGCTATTACTACCAGGGCATGTGGCAATCACTAGGTGGCACCACAGTTCACCAATTCAACACCTTCTCTGCCATCAGTCAGTGTCTGAAAGGCAAAGTGGTCCACCTGTATGGAGACTCCACCATCAGGCAGTGGTTTGAACACCTCAAAGAAACACTGCCAGGTAGCTGACCCAGTGATTTTTGATAACGGTTTTGATTGTGTTCACACTGCAGGTTAATCTGTTCCCTATGTCATATTTTTTAGATCTTAAGGAGTTTAACCTTCACAGCCGGAAGCAAGCTGGACCTTTCATGGCCTTGGACTACGCAAACAACATCTTGGTGACTTACCGCTGCCACGGACCTCCCATCCGTTTTGTTGACGTCCCAACCAGTCAGTTGCGTTACATTGCCAATGAACTGGATGGCTTAATTGGAGGCACCAACACTGTTGTAGTTCTTGGCATCTGGTCTCACTTCAGCACTTTCCCCATCGAGGTCTACATCCGGCGGCTGCAAAGCATCCGCAGGGCGGTGGTGCGGCTGCTGAACAGGGCTCCAGACACGCTAGTCGTCATCCGAACCGCAAACCTCAAAGCTTTGACGCTTTATGAGACACTAACCAACAGCGACTGGTACTCGCTGCAGCGTGACAAGGTGCTCAGAGCTGTGTTCAAAGGTCTGAATGTTCGTCTGGTGGACGCCTGGGAGATGACCCTGGCCCACCACCTGCCACACAGCCTCCACCCACAACCACCCATCATTAAGAATATGATTGATGTTCTCTTGTCTTATATATGCCCTCAAAAGGGTGGCTAGGTGTGTGTTTGTTGGGGAGAGGACTGGGGATTTAAGTACACATGCTGGGAGATCACTTACTGTAGAAGCTTAAGTAGAAGCAGATGAAGGTAATATTGCCATGAAAAGCCCAGTCCATAATACGCCTGTCCATGAAAATGCTCTTGGTTCTTATTACAATAAACTGGAATTTGAAGACACTTGTCCAGCAGCTAACAGTCTACCTCTGAGAGATAATGAGGTTACTGTAGTTCACCATAGTTTATTTTAGGCATATTTGGACCTTGTTGTCAGGGTAGAAAAATACTTGAACCCTGTGCAATACATACCTTCATGGGAATGTAAATTTGTGGGTCTGACAACCTACCAACTCATCCTGTCACTATAGAATTAACTTCTGGTGTGATTTAGACTTCTGTAATTTGACATTAGTAAATGTTAAGCTGTTAACACTTTAAACTTGAATGAGTCAATTGAAACTTTGACTGTTTACTGCGCAAGAATATTGCAGACAGACTGTACTTTAAAGGAATAGTTTGACACTTGGGAAATTCACTTATTCTCTTTCAGGAGACTTAGATGAGTAGATTGATACCACACTAAGTTTTGTACAGATCAGATATGGCATGTTACTGAGCTTTGGTGAATTAATTTTGTTACTTTAACCAAAGCCAGGTGAGCTTAAGATAAGCTGGGTCCAGCTGTAAACAAAATAGTTCAGAACAAGAGAATAACTCATTAAAACACAATCATAAAATAATCTCTGCCCCTCTCCCAACCTAGGCCAAAGCGTATAGTGCTCATGGTTCCTCAAGAGCTGAGTATAGTATATTAAGTATAGATAGTTGCAGGTAAAGGTCAATATCCCACAATCCACTAGGCACCATCCAGATGTTTAACAGCTTTAAGATGATCCTTGGCAGCTCAAAGTTGGACAATATTATGTGACTATGTGTTTATAGGATATTTGGTGGTTACCCGTAAATAATTTACTTGAACTAGGGCGATGGAGGGCTACTGCAGGATAGAAATATTGGATGCCAAAGATAAAGTCCACTGTCTGTGCTTGTTTGCAGCTTGTATATGTTATTTACAGGATATGATTAAGTTATATGGATGTATTTACATTGAGCTGAGTAGATTTTTTTCCCCTTGGATGTGTGAGCATTACTAGGGCCCATTCTTTCTTACAGTAAATTTAACAAAATCATGTAAATCTGTCTCAAAAGGGATGGTTTATATAGCAGATACTGTTGTTTCATCTATTATGTAGTCCATCAGTGGACCATAAAGGATTTTATAGTAACAGCCTTCCTTTGAAATAATATCTTCCTTTACCTCAACAGTCATATATTTATAACAATCTCTCAAGACATATGAATATGTTTTATGGCTCCAAAGAACAAATATAAAGACTATTCTCATGATGTAATAATATATTTACATGATGTCAACTTTGAGATCCAACACTGTTAAATTACATGCCATTCAAACAAGATACTTTTGTTAACAGAATTATGAATATTGTATGAAATGTTAACTGGCTCGTGCATTTGGTTGTGGGTTGATGAAATTTCTTTCCAAGCTGTTTCACTTTTCTATATTTTTTATTTTATATATACTGTACCAGACCTATGGAATATATGTAAAAACCAACTGGCATGAACACATGGGGAGATGTAAAGTTTGTTTGAAGATGAACTCACTGTTTACAGCAATTAAAAACATTGGTAACACAATACAAAACAAGGGTTCAGCAAACATTTTATCATGTTTAAATGATAATAATCATTTAATGAATATGTATTTTATAATCAGGGGGTTCATAATCAAATAAATGCACTTTATAAATTGTTAGCTTTTACTGGCTATGCATTATTCTTTAAATCAGTCATCCTCAGCAAAATTACATTGCACAACAGAAATAACAATGGACAATAGAACAAGTTTTTAAAACCTGTCCAGCATGAACTGCTCTAATACCAGTCTTGATGTGCTGATAGAAAAGCCAGCTGGAAGTGAAATGTGGGTTGGCTCCTCTCACACGGACTTGATCATCATTCTGGTGGCCTTCAGGGAATAAGGCGCCCTACCTTTCCAGGTATCCCAGTGGAGGCCTGAAGCCCAGCCAATGTGGTCACCAGCAGGATGCCATTCGCCGTGCAGACTGGCGGAGCCACAGCGGCTGTACCACCAACCGCCAAGATCTGAACGGCTGCATTCGTTTTCAATAATGTCACCAAAGATGCATGGGGAGCAGCCGTCATTGTCACGGTCGATGGTGCTGAAGCCGAAGCCATTCTGGTCGATGCCTGGATAGGAACCACGGATGGCATTACCTTTGGACAAAATTGGAAAGCATTTGAGGAAGTTTCAGTTCAGAGGGTTCCTTTTCTAGCTTAGTTAGTAATGTCAGTTACACAGCTATATCCAACTCAAAGGTCCAGTGTGTAACATTTAGAAGGGTCTATTGTCAGAAATGGAGTATAATATTCATGTACTGTATTAGTTGGAAGATTTTACGGTGAAAAACTGTAAAACTATGACAGTAAAAGACCGTAAACTCCAAATAAGTAAATACAGTTTCTGTAACAGAAACATTGATGACTCAGTTATATCTCATGGTATACCTTTATTTATACAGCATTTTAAAGGAATTAATATGGAATAATGTCTTTTTTTAATATTCAGTATAGTATAGTCATACCAAACCAATTATGCTGTAGCAGTTAAAACCCAGAATGGAATACATTAAGGAGTGCACTGTGTTACTTAGGACATTTTGGAAAAGGGGGAAAATGTTATTTCATCTTTTCAAAAATTACATACGTCTCTTTAAAACTGCCACATGTAGCATTTTATCAAGTATGGAACAACACATCAGGAAGCTAGACAAAATTGGATCTCAGATGACCGTCAGCCACGTAACAGGAAGAGGGTGCTGTTGTTTCAGAGAAAACCGAGCTAAAGCTGTCAGTCTGTGCTGACTGCAGACGAAGGACAGTATAAGGAAGAGGCAATAAGTGGAAGACAAAAATCCCTTTCAGTGTGACTGAAGGAGCGAATATAAGGAACAGGTTTTATGGCAAATGTCTTGAGAGCCATACACACTAATAGTATTTCGGGGCTCTGATGAAAGCAACAAGTCACCTTTTGTGTGGACCCCAGGTTAAGTAGATTCCAAGGCAACAACAAACAGTGTGCCAAGTGACTGTGTGCCAAGACTTTGTGCCAGGTCAATGAAATCACTGACTTGGCACACAGATTTCACACTTATTTTGGTAATGTTAAAAAAAAAAAACTACACTGAATAACTTTAATTTAACAGTGAAATAAATGGGATGACATTTGTGTGTCTATACAAAGCAAAGGGAAAAGGGGGACAGTGAGCTAAAAAAGCAGCTGTTAGAAAAGCCTGCATTACCTGCATTTCCTTTGTATTTCCCAACATGCAGTTTGAAAGCTGCCTTCTCACTGCCCAATCTGAAGTTTCTGTACTCGGCAAAAGCAGTTCCATTTTCATGGTCCCAAAGGTCGACCCTCAAAGTCCACTTCTTGATCTTGTTCTTGGTCAGAGATTGAACCTTCTTCAGACCGAGCCAGTGGTCCTCTGAGGGAATCAGCAGAGCACAAGGAAAGGTTTTTTTACCATTTTAAAAAGAGAAATAAACTAATTCTTTCTTCAGTATGTATTCAAAACATTTTTCAAAGTTATAAAAAGCACATTAGGTTTCCCAGTATCTGGCCCTTAACAAACCCAGTGGTCATTGCTGCAGGATGCAGGGTTTTTAGGTTGCCTGCAGGCAAGAATTCAGGGAATTCAGCTGAAAGTTCAAGCTTGCAATTTCTTTTTTATGTTTAGATTGTGTAAACCTCTGACTCTTTGCCCCTAAGCATGTGGCAATGTCAATAAGGAAGAATAATCACAACCTTTACCTTTACTATGTTCTTTATTTAACTATATTTATAATCACTGTGTGTTTAGTAAGGCATGTCCCCCCGTCAACCGGTATTACATTCTAATAAGTCATGAGTTATGTCATGAGTTATGACACACACAGCAGTTAAAAGTACATACCTGTCAGGTTTCCAAAACCAACTTTATATGCAGCCCATTTCCTGGTGAATGAAACTGCTCCTCCACTGCGTCTCTGAAACACCGTCCAGCCTCCATCTGGCCGCATCTCACAGTACACCTGAGCATGCAGCAAACATATGATAAAAAAGTGAGTGCCAGGCTTTTCACACACAACCTAAAGACTGAGGCATGTCTACAGGGCTTTGGCAAATATTACATTATGGGCTAACATGGGTGTTCTAAATGATTTGTCTTTACAAAATCTGTCATGGTGCTGTTTGGCTATTGATTCAATTATGCATGCAACATTACGGTAACACTGTACAATAAGAGACACAACGTTTTGAGTAATTACCAGGAAACAAATGAGGAGCAAACGGCTAGTGAACCATTAGTTAATGATTAACTCTGAATCAAATGTATAGAGTAGATAATGATTAGTTAATTAAGAAATTACAAATCGGGGACAAATTGATAACTGACGATTATAAATAAATAGTTCTTTAATAATTCCTAATGGAGGAGTACTGTATGTAGGAGATAATGATGAGCTACTAAAGAACAGATCCTATATTTATAAATAATGAGGGAATGATTAGTTCATGAATATTTGTGAAACGGTCATATGGACTACTTTCTTTATCTGAACCAGCCGATGATCTAGCAACAACACATTCATTATTAATTACTTAAACATAAACTCCTGTTTTGTGGCCCCCTAAAGTAAATTGGGCCATCACACTGAGTGGTTAGTGAATACTAAATCATTACTTAATGATTAATGCAAGTTATTCAAATTGTCCCATCAGAAATAGTGCTATAAATGCCCACTCCCATCTCTGTCATGGTCTTGTTCTTTTTTTTTAGCAACATTTAACAATATGCAGTGATGATTGGTGGGTAATATGAGATGATACAGTGCACGGTAATCTGTCAAGACTGACACCTGCAAGCCGAGGGAGCAGTCATGCCTTTCAAACTTAAAAGCAGCTGCCTTTATGGAAAACATCAACACTCATATTACCCAGCAATCATCATTGCTTAATGGTATATGACAAAAATACCAAAGAAAATAATAAAAATGTTTATTAGAGGTTGCTACTGACTACATTTATAGCACTCTAATATCCAACATCCCAGTTCTCAGTTTATGTTTACAATACTGCTATGCAGCAGTTGGGGTTTAAACACAAAAATGAATACAGTGTTTTTGTGAATCGATACAATATCACAAAATAAAATATTGCGATACAAGTTTTTAAAATATTTTCTTAATCCCCTAGAACTGAGTAACCACTCAGTATGATGCAACACTTTAGGGGCCACAAAAACAAGTAAAGAAAGTGGTCAGTATAACCATTTTACAGATATTCATAAACTAATCAAACAGGGCATATCTTGGGACAGTGAGTGACCTAGACACACACACATACAAGCACACACACGCCTAAGGTCACCTTAAACGGGGTCTTGACTCCAGCAGGCTGGATTACATAAACCCCACTGGATGCTTGTGGTGAGAGAGCCTTAATCTGTGTGCAATCTGTTCCTGAGGTTAAATTGACAAGAGAAAAACAAGAGGATGGTCAACACACAGGGCCTTGTAAGGTCCATAATATGTACATTAGGCCTATGTAATAACACTGTAAGCAATAATAACCCGCACCTTGAGACGTACTTTGAGAAGAAACTCTTGTCGGTTGTTTCTAGTAAAAGCAAAGTAATGTATTAATAAAGTCAGAGGTACAGACATTAGACATTGTTTTTGTCTGAAACATGTTAAATAAAACAGAGGGGGAAGGACATTATGGGGAGAGGTTTATGTAGTTTTTATTTTTTACCTTAGCCTGTGCTGTGATGGTCAGAAGACATGCCAAGAGCCCACAATACCCAACCAGACTCTTCATTTTGACCTGATGTTCAGAGTTTAAAAGTGACATGTTAGCTTTAAATATATTTGAAAACATTTTCTAAAGATACTAAAAAATATACTTTTTTAATCTTTTCATCTACACTAAACAGGCACAACAGTGTTACTTTAGTAAATGTTTGATGAAAACTGCAGTTGACAGCTCTACTCTTGAAAAAATGAGAGACATTTCAGGCTTCTTTCGCTTTCACAGGACTAAAGACTAAAATACTACCATTAACAGCCAATAATTTATTTCTCCAAGCACTTACCTGCGTGTTGGATGAAACTTGTATCTCAGCTCAAATTCCACTACAGAAGCTGCACCTTTTCCTACTGACTAAACTACCACACCTCCTCCATTAATAACAGACCCAGTCATTTGACGCAAGTAACTTGCTGTTTCAAAGTACGTAACACAGCTTTCACAACCGTGACACTTCACACAGTTACAGTAAAATAAGCCCTCCTCTGTTTTTTTTCTGTCTGGTGACACCACCCAAAGCAAACGACATTCCAGGGCTGACTCACACCAGAGCTGTGCTGCTGGAGCCTGATATTTATGCAGCATGGGATAAAACATATCACCTTTGTAATTCATAGTATAATGTACAGATATGTATGTTTCCCAGAGGAGAACTGTTCCCTACATTTTCATGCAGTGCCACCCATACAGTAACCCTGAACCTGAACCCTGAGGTTGACATTTGTTGGTCCCTACAGAAGTTACAATGTTGCAATTAATGAGCAAATTCAACCAATCCCTGTGAACTATCTGTGAACTTGCGATAACCGCAACATTTCAGCTAATTTGTCATTTCCTGCACAAACATTGGAGCCATATGTCACCAGATTCCCTTCCTTGTTTTTATGTTTCTAGTTGTGAAGGATGCAGATACATGCGATGCAAATGGTCTCACATTTAGCGGTCCATGTGATTTTATACTCACTGGAACAATTTACCCTTCAATTTTAAATTCATTACTTTTAAAAAAGCCATTTTTCAATTTTTAATTCTTTCACAATTTATTGCAAAAAATACCTAAAAGCATTGGCAACATGCATTGCAATTTTTTGATGAAGCTGCTGTGAAATCAGGCAGTTTAGGCCGTTAAAGTACACACACACACACACACACACACACACACAGATTATTGGAGTTGGATTCCATAACATTTGGTACAGATGGGTGGTTGTTCCCACATCAGGCCTCAGCCCATACTATGCAGTTCATCCTAATTATCATCATCATTATCTTTGCATGCTAACCTGCTAAACTAAACTCATGAACATGGTAACATGAAGTTAATCAATAAAAACAAAGAAAACATTTTCAAATGAAACATTATTGTGTATATTATTTATCCAATTAGTATATACATATATATGTCTTTAAATATATAGCACAAATTAGCAAATGTTACCATGCTAACACGCGAAACTAAAATGGTGAACCTGGTGAACTTTATACCAGTTAAACATCAACCTGTTAGCATTGCCACTGTGAGCATGTTAGCATGCTGACTTTAGCATTGAGATTAACGCAGTTTTACACAAGTACAGCCTCTCAGAGCTGCTAGCATGGCTGTAGACTGTGCTCATTGGTAGCATTCAGTTTGAAAAGTATGTGTCACTGTCTTCTAATGGTGCATTTATAGCTGGGTGTTTAACAGAAACATCATTAATGAAAGATAGTATTTAATTATTTATATTTTTATATACTGTATATATATTAGTCTTATTTTTGTCTTTTTTGCTATTCATCACATATCATTCTCCAGCACTGCCTCTGAGAGCCAAAAAAACACTAAATTAAATATCTTTAATCGACCTGCACTTAGAATTCCTCAATTCTTTCTGCACTAGCTGACCGAGAAATGAGTTCTGGCAAACCCTCCACTGTACAAATAGTTACAGAGCAGTCATCCTCCTCCATCCCAAACCCAGGGTAGAGGGGCTCAGTGAAGGTGCTATAGAACGTGTGAAGGTGGCTGAGGGTCCCGGGGGAGACGCTGTAGAAGGACAGGGTGCCACCAGGCCAGTCCAGGAACACTCCGACCCTGTGGGAACGAGACGGAGGTGCTGGTATTTCCACAGACTGGTGGTCGTGCTGAGCGCTGTAGTGATCCTCAGAGCAGTACAGACTCCACGACTGCTCTGTGTACCCAAACCCACAGAGGTGAGAGCTCGCCCTCCTACGGATCCCCCTCACAGCCACAGCCACATCCACCCAGCGTCCTCGCCACTCCACCTCCCAGTAGTGGCGCTGGGTGAGGTCTTGGTGACACAGCACCTGGGAGACGCTCTCAAACCTGTCGGGGTGATCTGGGTACTGCTGTCGCTCCCTGACCCACGTCACCTGCTTTCCACTGTCGTACAGAAAGAGAGACTTGGCAGCTGTCTTTGAGTCCAACGTCAGTGCACATGCATCTGCATAAAACACAGACATGGCTATTTCAGTGTCATCATTTCTATTTCATAACCATGATGAGGTCCAAGGTCCTCACTCAGCAGGGGGAAAATGAACCGTGGGCCCCCATTGACCCCCTTTTCTCCCACTGATAAACACCTACTTACTGAAAGGAACAAGTTTAAAAAAAAACTCTATCCTGCCATCTGTTGGACAAATGACACTACAACATGTCCAGGCAAAAACAAGTAAAAAGGCAGAAAATTGCAACATGCATATGGCACTTAATAAATAATAAAAAAACAGAACCTTTTTAAGCAATTCAAATGTCAATTTAAAAGTTTGATTACATGTTGAAACACAGGAATTTGAAAATATAATACAGATACATTATTTTTTAAGAAGCACAATCATTTATTTGATTCAAACATGCTCTATTTAAAAGAGTCTATGTACTAAAATTCTATTTGGCAGGCATACATTTGGTAAATTGCTGAACTAAACTACAGATCTTGTGTGTATCTGCCCACATTACAAAAAGTTGCTGTTTGATTAAAAGTGAAAGAAAACAGTATTAATAGAAAATATATCACTTACAGTTTTTCAGTTTGGATTTCAAGTAGCACTTTGCATTATGGTCCACACTGTAGACAGGAGGGTAGATATGCAAATATGAATCATTAATAGACTCATTATGTTTCGTAATCCTCTATATCTTTTGTAACCACATTGTACATGTAATATACATTTTACATGTATGTAAAATATGATTGTACATGCTGCTTTCCTCTGTTCCCTGCTGTTTATCATATCATATCATATCATATCATATTTTAGGAAATACCCATCTTAAAAAGGCACATGGTATGATCAGGATTTAGGTTTTTCACTTTTACAAGAATTTTCTTGGATCTCTTTTCTTAGCATTTTGGTCATTTGATCCTTCATAGGCCCCACCCTTTTTCGCTCTGTGCTCCAATAACAACCTCTGTCAACTTTCTCTTTTTCTGTACTTAGATATGCTATGCGCTAGGCTCAGATATGTTAAAAAAATAGTTTGAAGATGGTTAAAAGATAAAAGTGACATTTATATAGTCACATCTTACGTTAGATCATATTACCAAAACATTACCTAGTTAGCTAGTATTTTGCTAACATTAGCTAGCTTACTTGAGGTGTGACTACATTCATGTCGTCTTTATCTTTTAATAATTTTCAAATGTATTATTATTATTATTATTTTTATTTCAACATTGACAAGCCTAGCACATAGCATATCTGAGTAAAAAAAAGTTGACTGAGGCTTGTTCAACTGTTATTGGGTCAATTGTATCGTTACCTTATTTTTTCAAGTTTGCAGAGCGGGTCGTTCCAATGAACGGAGATCAGCTTCACCCCAGTGTCCTGCAGGTAGTTGTAGCTGAGGTCCAGCTGCCTCAGGTGAGAAGGGTTGGAGCTCAGTGCTGAAGCCAAATAGGTGCAGCCTTTCTCTGTGACTCCACAGAACGACATCCTGTGTGGAGGCAGGGCATTCACATTTCAAGCAATATTTGCCTTTTTGTGTTATGTAGACGTAAAAAAAGAAATAATACAGAAAATATCCAAAAACTTACCTTACATTTCTAGGTGTTTTTGTCTTTATTGTGCAAAATGTATTTTTATTTTTATAGCATTATATGATTACATTATTATTAGAAACTTGCACTTTGGCTTATTAAGGAAGTAAAGATTGTTACTTTGAATGTAAAGCCAGCTTACCTTAAAATCTCCAGTTTACAGTCCGTACTTGCCAGTCCAGCAGAGAGAAGTTTCACTTCTGTGTCCTGCAGGTCGTTCCCACTCAGATCAAGGTCCTTCAGGTGAGATGTGTCAGAGCTCAGGACTGAGGCTAAATCAGCACAGCATTTCTGGAGATTGCACTCGTTTAACCTGCAGGTGAAAATATGTTTTGTTCTAGTTATGTGTATTTAAAAGGTAGAACCCAACAAAGGTAAAGGTAAAATGACCTGAACCTTGCACGAGTTAAACTGATTTTATATGTTTATTTTAGTGAAAATATCATGGCAACAGACTGAAAGTGCATTTAGAACTGTGTCACTACACTGATATAAGAAAATATTTGTTGTGTCTCCTGAACCTGTCTGAACTGACCTTAATGTCTCCAGTTTACAGTGTGGACTTCTCAATCCAGCACACAGCAGCTGTATGTCTGGACCCTGCAGGTTGTTTCCACTCAGGTCCAGCTCTCTGAGGTGGGCAGAGTCGGAGCTGAGAGCTGAGCCAATGTGATGGCAGCATTTCTCTGTAAGGCCGCACCAGCTGAGCCTGACAAAAAGAAGACATCTTTAAATGAAGGTACAGCACACTATATGTGGCATAGTGATGATAAACTCGATTCTCACGAAAAGACTCCAGATATGGCTGTAGATTAGTGGTAAAAACTGTGTTGTAATTATTTAGTTGAATATTCCAATTTATGTATATTATATTAGGCCATTAAATACACATTAATAGATTTTTTTGACGACGTGGGGGCAGCGCAACAAGCTCTGAACATAACATTGACATCATCTTTTAAAGTTGATATCGCAAACATGTGAGCAAACAGTTGCCAGTTTCTGTCTACATGGTGAATGTAAATCCAATATTAATTCAACTAGCAAAGCTGAAGGTTTGGTGGAGACAAAACAGAGCTGAAAGGCCAGTAAATATTACACTCTGTTAGGGGGGCAGATATTTGATTCACTTCACAGATATTACAAAATCAGGGATAGCATCAAATTAAAATGTCACAAGTAAGATCTCTTTTACACCAAAGGAACTATGAGCAAATACTTAATTCATGAGTAGCAGTATGCCTTTAAACCATGAGACTGCCAAAGTAACCTTTCAGAGGATTGTACTTACCCTAGCGTTTCCAGTCTACAGTCTGGACTCCTCAGCCAAGCAGTAAGCAGGGATACACCAGAATCCGTCAGGCTGTTGTTGCTCAGGTCAAGAGTTTTCAGGTGAGATGTGCCTGAACTCAAAACTGTAGCCAAATCTGCACAGGAATTCTCTTTCAGCTTGCACTGATTCAACCTGCAAACAAGTACGGATTAATTTTGTTGAAAGCATTCACTGTGATTAAATTCAAGCTTAAGCAAGTGATTTACATTGGTCAGCAAAGAGGTCTTACCTCAATGTTTCTAGTTTGCAGTGTTGGCTGCGCAGTCCCACACACAGAGCCTTCACTCCTGCTTCCCGGAGGTCATTAGCACTCAGGTCCAGTTCTTTGAGGTCGGTAGATTCTGTGCTAAGAGCAACAGACAGTACTTCACAGCAATCTCCTTCCAGTTTACACTTATGTAGTCTAAAAAAAGGGAAAATAGAAAACTATTTTAATGTTTTGAACTGAAAAATGGTGTGCATTTTGTATAATTCAGTAGCCATAATGACAGTAAACAGCAGTAAACCTAAACCACAAGTCCTTCAATCAGGGTTGCATTGAGCATTTTTCTGAAAAGACTGCTAACAGTTATTACAGACCTTAAACTCTTCAGTTTACAATGTGGACTTCTAAATCCAACAGAAAGTAGCTTCACTCCTGAATCCCTCAGTTGGTTGTCACTCAGGTCCAGCTCTGTCAGGTGAGACGAGGTCGAGCTTAATGCGGAGGCCAAATCTTTACAACAGTTCTCCGTAAGGTTGCAGCGATTTAGCCTTGAAAAATGATAAATAAACAACATTTTTTTTTTTCATTATGGGATGAAAACGTTCTCAGGTCAAGGTCAAATAATAGCTGCAGACAGAAAAAAAAGTAGTTTGAGACTGAGAGAGCAACTAAAATCAGCATGCAAGAGGAACACTATTGTCATGTGGCTAAACTCACAGAGCACGTGTGGAGGAAGTAATGACGGTCAGCAGCTTCCCTACCCCTTCTTCTGATCTTATGTACTTCTTCAAGTCAAACTCCTCCTCTGTTGACTCTGATGTCATCAGTTCGAAAGTGAGAGCGGACCACTGGACTGGAGACAGCTTTTTGGCTGCAAGCTTCCCAGAACTCACAAAGCTCTGGACCTCCTCCACCAAAGACTCCTCTTTGAGCTCACTCAGGCAGTGAAAGAGGTTGAGCTTGGCCTCTGGTTCCTCTTTTATCTTTTCCTTGATAAACTGGATGGTTCTCATCACATCTTCCTCTTCTTCTGCTTCCAAATGCAGTATTCTACCCAGGAGCTGCTGGTTCGACTTCAGCGATAGTCCTAGGAGAAAGCGAAGGAAGAGGTCCCAGCGGCCGTCTGGACTCTCCAAGGCTTTTTCAATGGCAGTCTTGTGAAAACTGAACACAGACTTGGGGAGCCATCTTGTAGACATCCTTTTTAAGTACCCAAGAAGAACATTCTCCTTTCTTTGCATGTAGCAGTGATGGGCATACACAGCTGCCAGAAACTCCTGGATAGTTAAATGTACAAAGCTAAAAACTTCTCTCTTCTTTCTGCCCTCCACCACAAAGATCTCTGTACAAACTCCTGAGTAGATGGTTGCCTCTTTGACATCCATGCCGCACTCTTTCAAGTCAGCCTCGTAGAAGATCAGTTTTCCTTTCTCCAATTGACGGAATGCCAGCTCTGCCAGCTTCAAAACAACGTTGTCGCTTTTCATTGGGTAGTGCCCTTCTAGCATCCGGTCTGTCTGGCAAAGAAGGAGATATGCGTACATCTCTGTCAGGGTGTTGGGCATGCCTCCTATCATATTTTCGCGAAACATTTTCTTCATTACAGTGACTGTGATCCAGCAGAAAACTGGTATCTGACACATGATGTAGAGGCTTCTTGATGACTTCACATGGTTAATGACCCTGATGGCGAGGTTATCATCACGCAAATGCCTCTTAAAGTATTCCTCCTTCTGTTCATTAGCGAAACCCTTCACCTCCGTCCACTGGTGGATGTGCTTTCGAGGGATCCGGCTAGCTGCTGCAGGTCTGGACGTGATCCAGATGAGTCCGTTT